ATATCAAGTATACAGTGTCAGAAATCCCAGAACTTAACCTATTGGGACGAACTGCTACTAAGGAGCTGGGCATTTCTGTAGACCAAGCACTCAACGATGTCGAATCATGTCATGCAGTCTTTAGCAATCTAAAGGCCGACATCAAACTACAGGAGAAATGCAAGAAATTGTGCAATGAATTTAAAGATTTATGGAAACCGGAATTAGGATGCCTCAAGGACTATGAACTCGAAGTAAAGTTTAAGCCCAATGTCCAGCCTATCTTCAGGAAAGCACGGCCAGTTCCATTTGCCATGGAAGCTGATTTGGAAGAAGAATACCAGAAAGGTATAACAAAAGGAGTATGGGAAGCCACACAATTTTGTCAATTTGGGACTCCAGTGGTTCCTATCAAGAAGGCTGTGCTCCCAGGACAAAATAAACCCAAGATCAGAGTCTGTGGGGATTATTCTGTCACAGTCAACCATCAACTGGAGGAACATCGACACCCGCTTCCTCTCCCCGAAGATCTTATGAGAAGATTGGGAGGAGGATATGGATTCACCAAAATTGACTTGGCAGATGCATATAACCAAATCAAGCTTGCGCCGGAAAGTCAACGAAGACTAGCACTTAGCACTCATAAGGGAGTGCTTTTGCAGAAAAGACTTCCATTTGGTATCAAATCTGCCCCCGGATACTTTCAACAGATCATGGATCAGCTCACTGTAGACCTTCCTGGTGTGGCTACCTATCTGGATGACATCCTTGTAAGCGGTATTGATGCTGAGGACCACCTGAGCAATCTTCGGCGTTTGCTCCAAAGACTGCAAGACAAAGGTCTCCGTTGTCGACAGGAAAAATGTCACTTTGCCCAGCCATATGTTGAGTATTTGGGACATCTACTGTCACAACAAGGAATCGCAAAAGGTCCTAAGGTAGATGCTGTTCTTAAAATGACAGCTCCTACAAACGTTTCAAGTCTTAAAGCTTTCTTAGGATCTGTCCAGTTCTATGCCAAATTCCTACCATCAGAACTAGCTACAATAGCAGAGCCTTTGTACAAGCTGACAAAGAAGACGGTCAAGTGGAAATGGCAACAAGAACACCAAAAGTCTTTCCAACGTCTGAAAGACTTGCTTTCTTCAGAGAATGTCCTGGTTCATTTTGAAGAGAAACACATCCTAGGTCTGGCATGCGACGCTTCAAACGTTGGAATTGGAGCCGTATTATTTCATCGTTTTGCAGATGGAAGCGAGCGCCCAATTGCCAATGTCTCCAAAACTCTCACAGAAAGTCAAAGGAACTATAGCCAAATCCAAAAAGAAGCCCTGGCAATTGTGTTTGGATTGAAGAAGTTCTACCAGTACCTATTTGGACGGAAGTTTGTACTGGTCACAGATCATCGACCACTGTTAGCCTTATTTGGGCCTGGAAAAGATGTTCCTCTAATGGCTGCTAACCGACTGGCTCGTTGGGCTCTAATGTTAAGCCAATTCAACTACAAGATTGAATTCAGGAAGACTAAGGATCACGCTAATGCTGACGCTCTCAGTCGTCTACCTCTGCAGGAAGATTCACAATTTGATGAGGAGGAAAGTGTAGATGACACATTAATGGTCTGCCAGATACAGACAATTGACGAGAAAGTCACTCCAGCAGAACAAGGATCTCTTGCAAGAGAGTCAGCAAAGGATCCAATAATCTCAATGGTAATGAGATTCATTCGAGAAGGCTGGCAACCAAAGAAGAACGATGAAGGAACGGAAATGCACCGATTCCGACAGGTTGCTACTTTACTGTCCATATGTAATGGTTGTTTAGTCCATGGGTCGAGAGTGGTGATTCCAGCAAGCATGAGAAGAAACGTTCTGGGACTTCTTCACCTAGGACACTTTGGAATGCAGCGAATGAAGCAACTGGCTCGCACGGCTGTCTATTGGCCAAACATCGATGAGGATATTGAGGCCACATGCAGACACTGCATACCTTGCGGTCAGCATCAGAACAGACCAGCCAAACCTGCAATTCACCCATGGATGCTTCCAGAGAAACCCTGGAGCAGATTACACCTTGACCATGCGATCAACTTCATGGGTACAAACTGGTTGCTGCTTACAGATGCATATTCTAAATACCCATGCATCCATCCAACACAGTCCGTTTCAGCCAAAGCTACGGTTGACCTATTGGAGCAGGACTTTGCGCATTTCGGTTACCCACACACCTTAGTAACAGATAACGCTTCTGCATTCATGTCAGTCGAATTCCAGACTTGGTGTAAAGAGCGAGGCATTGTCCATCTCACCGGAGCTCCATACCATCCTGCCACTAATGGAGCAGCTGAACGACTTGTGCAAACTTTCAAGCAGGCACTCAAGAAGTCAAGTCTTCCTCCCAGAAAAGCCCTGCAAGAATTCCTTATGCAGTTTCGCAGAACTCCCAACTCCAGTGGGTATTCTCCGAGTGAACTGCTGAATTCACGTCAAATTAGAACCAAGATTGATACTCTATTACCATCTCCAGCGCATACAGCCCAGGGAAAACAAGCTAGAGAGGCTACCAAATCCCAGCAGAAAGAGATTATCTCTAAAGTAGTAAGATCTTACAAAGTCGGAGATCCTGTCTACGCCCTCTACTTTGGTCCTAGAAGAGACAAAGAAGGTCGTTGGGTGCCAGCTGTAATCATCAAGCGCAAAGGCTCTCGATCTTTCAATGTTCGAATACAGCCAAAAGGCCCTACTTGGAGACGACACCTTGAGCAGTTGCAGCCGCGTTATGCTTCAGTAGAAGATGATGATCCCGGAGTTCCTCCTTCACCGTCTACAGAAAGAGCAACTCCACCTCTGACAAGCGCTGCTACTTCCGTGGAACTGCCAGGATCTGCCACCGAAAGAAGGCCAGCTACACCAGAGTACGGTCCTCACAAACCACGAAGATCAAAACGGGCCCCTAAGCCTAAGAAGATGTTCTCGCCTTCGCCTTGAACTTCAAGGCTAGGTGGGGAGGTGTTGTGTGTAGTTGCGCTGCGATGCTGCTGATTTAACAAGAAAAGAACTGCGGCATCGCGTGTTGAATTACAAAAGGACTTGTCACCTTATTGTTGAATTATCGTCAATGAACCTTTAGAATACTTTGTTTCATGTTTCTAAAGTGTTTTTACGAACGTTGTTTGCTTTGCCTTGATGTTATTCAGTTTTTAAAAGTTGGATGTGAATATTATTAAATTGAGTTCACTGCTTT